GTTAAGCTTTTCACACTTATCGAAAAATTTCACAAGCCTTTCCTTTTGACAATATGCTAACTAATTGTCGACTGGCTTCAAACTTACCCCCCTTATCTGTTCAAAATATAATGAAGTATATATGTTACAACATATTAGTGGTTTGCAAATCATTGAAAATTTTGTTTATGATGTCAAATGCAAAAATAAACACTTAACACATATATACACCGCAAAAGAGCAAAAGCAAAAAGAGAAAAACGTTCACATCGGCTGCACCGAGGCTATAATACCCTTCACAGCTGCATTTCTTATAGCATAAAAGGGTATAAAAAGATCTTTATCGCGATTTTAATCGGTCAGTTTGTACGGCAGCTATATGATATAGTGGTCCGATCTGAACAATTTCTTCTGTAGCGTTGCTGTAGACTATAATCTATGCTAAATTTGGCGGAGATGTCTTGTCAATAACTTGATTTTGACGTACCGCTTGATATGATAGAAAAGGACGTGTGTGAAATTTCAGAACGAAATCTCAAACTGAGGAACTTAGAGTATATACAGACCGACTGATAATTAATATATACACCTACACTTTACAGGGTTTTTAGCGTTACCTTTAGGGTGCTAAAAACTTCGTGGCAAACATAATATACCCTGTTCAGGGTATAAAGATGCCATTGACAATTTATGGAGTGACAAATTGAATATTGTCATTTTGTATACCTAAATACATATGTATATTCAATATATGTATGTGTTTAAGCAGATTCACAATGAACACGTTTAATTAAATCGTTTAATTAGAGGTTGAAAGGTTGTATCTTACAAACAAAAAACGCATGCAAAGAGAGGTTTTTATTTGTGGATGTGTGTAAGAAGAAAATATGTAAAATAAATGTATGAACAGAAAAGACGGGCGCTAAAGTAATTTTAATTTGCAATTTTCAATGCTACTACATACAAATGCACACTTGATCCATGGCAAGGACTTATAGTAGTTTTTTATCAAAGGGTTTGAAGCTTAACGGTTATTGAAGTGAATAAAATATTGATTTACTGACGCATAGTTTTTATTGAAGGTTTTGATTGCAAATACGGATTAACGACGTAAATGCGCCTTCTTGAAATGCGTATGTAATTTGAAATAAATATTGCTGATGTAGGCACATACTCGTGCATATTTTTATTTTTTTTCTGTAGTGGATTATACACATCATTTGTTTAGTGCACTCATGTAAGTGTAATGAAGTGGGCGACGGGGATATTTGTAAACATCAACAGTAGCATTATCTACATAAATCTAGTTAAAGTTGTGTATAAACATTTTACTGCTAATTTTTAAAAAAAAAAAAAAGTATTCTTTTTTCACAAATCGACCATTACTAGCAAATTTTATGTAGATTAATATCCCGTTTTTTTTTTAAATTAGTTTTAGCTAGCACGAGTTCCTAGCATCACCGACACACGTCGAGGCCCTCTTGAAAAAGATGATTCCGAAGATTAGCCCAGTAGTAGCTGCAACTTTGTATAATAAGGTACACCCAAATATATGATTAATGAAACCCGGATGAAAAAAATTCGAGTTCTTTTTCTCTACTCTCAGAATATATTATGAAAATTAGAACTTTTTTAAGGCTGTAGACAGTTCTAACCCTCTAAGTTTACTTAACAACTTTGATATACTGACACATTAAACATAAAAGTAATAATAAGGAACAGTTTATTAATGGTATAGAATACACAGTCTAGTTCTTAATGGCAACTCCACTTTAACGTGATTCGAAGAGCCTTTTTGTAAGCGAAGGTGATGTCAAAAAATATAAAAATTTATGTTTATAAACATCCAATATTACTCTGCAGAATTGCAGGTTCCTATTTTTTTTTTAATCATCGATAATGTATGTTCGGTGGCTATTGGTTGAAAGGGTACATATGTAATATCAGAATCACTTGGATATTAGTAAAGTTGGAATTCTCTAAAAAAAAAAATTTGTTATCTGGACGAAGGCCTTTTTTGTTCGACTTTAATTTGAAAACTTATCAAATATCATATATATCCAAATCAAGAGACCACTGAAGATGTTACATTTTTTAAGGGGTTATATCAACTTGAGAGTCAGAAAAATGTATTTTTGTTTCATTAAGTAAATTTAAAAAAAGTGTACATTTACAGAATTTAATGCACTTTACTAATCGGCGATACACTTTGCAAAATTGTGGATTCCCTTGATCCCGTAGTCCTTCTCCTGGAGGAACTCCGAAAAAAAAAAATGTATGGCAGTGACAAATTTGTGTCTGCTTAAAATTATCTCAAATCCAAATATCCAAATTTTTTGTTGATTATTACTATAGAATAAGGCAGGTAATGATCGAAGGACTAATCTTAAGTTTTGACAAAATGGCGACTGCTCAAAAGTGGGTCGGTAGGTCGTTTGAAAAATTCCTTACCGACCCGAAAATACCTCTCGAGAAAAACGGATTCAAAGTTTTGGGATCCGACAACACTAAGTTAAAAAAACTCTTACAAATACGCTCATATCTCCGAAACTATTTGCCGCATCAACTTAAATTTTCAGAGAATATTCTGAAATATAAATATGTACACACATTTGATATAAATACATATATGTATATATATATTTTAAATTGCAACGTATATGGTATATGTATTATATATATATTTTTGTTTTAAATACGCAGATGAATATATTATTATAACTATGTTTTTTCATAGTTTAATGCGTGAATACGGTGATATACATATTTTTATTCATTATATGTTTTTCCAAAGCATCTATTAGACGTGATTATATTTAAAAATATACAGACGCGAGAAGGATTCTATTTATAACCTCAGCACCTATGCTAAATAATTATACGTTAAAATATTAAACTGCAAATATTAGTTGATGTCAAACTCGGCTCTAGTGTCTAATCTGTCTAGTGTAAACACAAAATTTCGCGTTGGTGATCAGGCACTTAAACAAAATAGACACAAGTTTTTGGTGCAAACTTCTACACCGCAACAATTTTCACTCAGCATTCAATAAAGGTTGTATTGAATCAAAAAAAAAGGTATATAGTGTATAGTTTAGGTCCCCCAACTAAGGACAAACTCCTTTCAGCAGCGGAAAAAATAAAAGAATTAGTTTTAATGTATCACAATTTTTTATTTTTAATGCATATGTATTAAAAATATTAAGTTTTTAATTAAAAAAAATAGATTTATATAAAAAATTCACTTTCCGCTCACGGATTTGTAATATTCGCGTCAAAATAAGACAAATTAAAAAACATTTTCATTTTTAAGGCCCTCTTAGTTGGGGGACCTAAACTATACATTTACCAATTTTTTTTTGGAGGCTTCAAAATTGAAATTTTTTTTTTAAATCGTCTTATTTTTAGGCGTAGATTACAATATTCAATATTTCTATTTTTTTTTAATTTTTTCAAAAAAATTTTTTTTTTTTTTTAAAATGCATTAAAAATAAAAAATTGTGATACATTTAAATTAATTGTTTTATTTTTTCCTTTGAAAAAAATCACATATTCACGTTTTTTGGTATATTTACTCCTCTTCTTCATAAACGTTTCGGAAAACTTATATTAAAATATCAATGTTAGTCCACTTTTATTGTGATATTAATAATAACACATAATCTGCATCGTGATGAAAATCAGGGATAATGGGATGCCCAACTCTTTCCAGTGTGATAGCGCCTCAAAATTAGCGTTTTTTATAACATTTTCCATTGTAGCCAGATCGGACAAAGTAATAATTTTTGGGAATTTAAATTAAAATACCCATCATGTATAAAGATTAAACATTATTATACATGTATCCGTTAAACATATGCAGAAACTTTTTATACTCTTTTTTTGTGATTTTGTGATTTATTAAACAATTGATTTTTGAACTTTCAATACGTTATCTCTGATGAAAATTGAGGTTGAGAGCAGCGAAAAGGAGTTTGACGCGATTGAATTATGAACACCCCGGTTTTGGACCGACCAGGGTTATTTTTTTGAAGCGCGACCGAAGGCCGCCAGTGCAGAAAGGAGTTTGGCGCGATTGAATTATGAACACCCCGGTTTTGGACCGACCAGGGTCATATTTTTGAAGCGCGGCCGAAGGCCGCCAGTGCGGAAAAGAGTTAAAATATTTCCGATATTCGTCCATACCATCAGATCGCGGCACAAAGGAAATTGTGACTGTTACATTTCTTTAGTATATTTTTTTCATAAGAAAATGTTTAACACACTGAACTGGTAATTACAGCTAAGTGGTCTGATTTCTACTGAATTTTGCTGCTACAACAACAACAACTAAGTGACTTGAATATGTGATATGTGCAAAGTGTGTAAAATAAATTTTGAAAAATATACATAAATTATTGAAAAAATTCTTTTTCCGCTCACGGATTTGTAATCTACGCGTAAAAATAAGACGATTTAAAACAAAAATTTAATTTTTGAGGCCTCCTTAGTTGGGGGACCTAAACTATACATTCACCAAAAAAAAAGCATTATAACTTTATCACGTCTCCTTTTAAGAGCTCTTTTACTCTTAACTATCACTTATCACTATTCGCCGTATTTACGTACTTAAGTAAGTTATTGTTAGCCAAATACGCACCTACATACATATATATAAATTTCTAGCGCTTCATTTAAACACGTTTTATTTGAATTTACACTTGAAGGAATATTTAGAAATTATATACTAGCTTTTGTTACAACAGCCGAAAAGTTCAGAGGGCAAACACAAAATACTAAACACACATTCCACAACACTTCCATTTGTTTTCATGCGGTTTTTACATGGCAATAACATCACGCTGCTAACGTCGAACGTCGAGCGTGACTGCAGAAATACAACGGCAGCTATTCTAATCTGCATTCCGCTGTAATGTAAGAAGCTGCCAAACCGCTTTACGCATAAAACATTTACTCACACAGATACTTAATATTGTGGATGTGTGCACAAAAACAAATTTACAATAATAAAACATACATACACACAAGGCCCCATAGAAAATATCAGATGTAATACACGTAAACATAATTTTATTCTTTCATTATTTCTTATTCTTCGTCTTCAGATTTCTCGCAGAGAATTTCTGTTGCGCTTTGTCTGCTGTTTCTGTGGTCATTCGCTGACGCGACGCTGCGTCACAGTTCAGCTTCCACTTTAAAAAACCTGATTTGTTGCGCGTTTACTTGTATTCACTTCTTCTACACACTGACATCACTTTCCATATGAAAGAGTTTCGGCGAATTATAATTTTTCATAACACACCTACATTCACATACAAATGTATATGTACATGCGTATGTACATATGTGCCTTTTTATGTAGCTGTATATCTATGTAAACGTTTTAAATCCACCTTGTGACTTTTTGTCAACTTATTTTTTTTTTAATTTCTGCTTTCAAATTCTTAGTAAATTCAGTTTCACATTTACTATTTATTCATTTCACTTCACATCACTCCATAGCTACTTACAGCATCACTAAACCACTCTTTTAAAATTCTGATAGAATAAAGAAATAGAAGCAGAAGCCCTACACTAGCTCGTCAGTAAATGAAATTAACACATACCTTTAATACAACAAACTTTAAACTTCTACGAGAGTATAAGCAGCGAAATGCAGAATAAACAGAACTTAAATTATTTGTACTGGTGCTGCGTCTGTTAACACTAACCGCGCTGCCGCTGTTCACTCGTACAATTTCGCTGTTGGTGGTATTATTATTTACCGCTTCGAAGTCGGCGTTGACTTCACGTTCACGTTCTAAAATGCCGACACTTCACTGTAAACGACTAAACGGTAGCGACGGCAAAACAAAAGCCAAACATTCCCATGAACACAAAATAATCGACATAAATTTATGTGTTGACTACACGAGCGACGGCGTTCAACTGTTGGTGCATTTTCCTACAGCCCTAATCGTAGGCTACCACTTCGCTCGCATGTTTTACGTTTGTGTTCAACAGTGTTACGTGCGACTATGGAAAAACGTAGTATGAAGTCGATACTCTCTTATAGTACCGTTAGGATTAAGATACTTTACGAATACAGAGATTTCAAAAATGAGTAACAATTTCAATACAGCTAACGCCCAGTAATCAGGTATGGACCACACTTTCTGTTTCGCCTGAAAACGGTGCGAATGTTCCTTTCCGACCGAATAAACGATGGTTAATTGTGTAGAAGCTATAAACCGTTTCGAAATGAATGTTTATTAAACTGATATTATTTTCTACTAACAATTCCAAGTGATTTTCTAAAAAACCTTGCAAATGATGCAAAATGACAAAAAAGTATTTGCGGATCGATCTAAAAAGCTAACCTGCGTATTGGTAAATAAGTATGTATTAAAGGACGAAAATTCAATAATTCGTGAGGGAGTGTCCATTAACTCATAAAACGCTTACTAAGTCAGTACTTATAAATCCCCAGCTTTACTGCAAAACACACTATATGGCACTACATAAAAGTTTCTTTACTACAATATAAGGAAATTGAATTTTCGCATATAATTTTCTTTTCCATATAAAAAAGTTTAATTAAGTTGTTATTAGAAAAGTAGTAGAAAGTATAATCTACACGTTTTTGAAAAACATACTCGCCAATACTTTTACCTGCGCTATAATATTCTCACAATACACGCTCTTTCTCTCTCTGAGATAAGTATTTGCTCTCATCTTTCTCACATTTTCTTGGTACTCAAAAGACGCTCTTTTGTATCTCTCTACCTGTTGCATTTTGTTTGTTTACAAATGTAACAATGTAGTGGTGCAATAAGTAACTTCTTGGCGGCGACTTTATAGAGCGGACAAAAACAGTGATGTAATTCTTTAAATTAATTGAATAATTAAATTAATTCGTTAGACTTATAATAGCAATTTTAATACGTTTTGCCTGGATATTTTATTTTTATTGAGTAATTGACCAGAATGAGTCAAAGTAATAACGCTATTGTTATAGGAAATGTTTAATAAAGGTAAGTATCTAGGCAGGAAATATGCCCGAAGAAGATGGTGGTATTTAAAGTGGGACGAAAAAATAATACTGAAACTGTCAAATATGTATGTACGTCTAGTTTGATACCCATCGAGATTTATCGAGCATGGGAATATTCCTTCTTTCGCTATATATCGAGCAATACGTAAAAGTATATTTTAATTAAATTAAGTATGTAAATATACTTTTATAAGTATAATGTGATTTAATGTAATAAATTAACGAAATCAGTCAAAATTTATACCGAGCCTCCATATACCCATTAAAATATACCCTCCTGAAATTAAAAATAAACAATCGATTTATGTAGGTTTACTTTTAATTTTTTACTTTAAAATAAATACCAAAGTTTTTAAATCGATATCTCAATTAGTTTTTGTATTACAGCCTTCTAAAATCTACCGCTCGGTTTTATTAGCTTAATTACAATAGTTTACCTTTAAACGCGTTTTTCTCGAAATGGCTTGCGTGATTAATAGAAGTCTGATGATCCCAACACTATTAAATTTTTCTACATGTTCTTTATATATGTTTCTATAATTTTTGACCTAATAAAAAATCGAATTATGCAGGCCAAAAACAACCAAAATTTTGCAAAGCAGTTTTTTTAAAACGTCGTCATTTTGAAAATCTTTGTATTAATATCTTCGAATAAGATTTTTATTTAGGTTTCGTCCACGAAGAAGGCCAGAATCACTTTCTAGCGTCTTTGAAGATCGAGAAGAAAACTTTTTTTTTTTAAATCGCCTATTTTAAGCCCAAACTAATTTTTTCTTGTATTTTTTTTCCTCCATTCTCATTCTAAATATACATAAACCGCTCGGCGTAGTATATATAATATTAAATTCAATAATAGTAATAAAAAACAACACAATATATGTATTTATATACCCTACATCCTTATAGGAAAGCTAATCTGGTACACAAATAGGAAAAAACATTAACTTCGGCTTTAGCGAAGCTGTGAAGGGTATTACAGGTGCATTTTATGTAGCATAAAAGAGTATAATAAAAACTTTATCTTGATTTTAAGTGATCAGTTTAAATGACAGATATATGCTTTTGTGCCGTTTCCTTAAATAATAATCCATGACAACTTTTGTTAAAATATCTTGTCAAATAAAGTTTTCCATACAAGGAATTGAGTTGAAAAAAGGACGTATGTAATATTTCTTAGCGATATCACAAAAATTGTGAGACTAGTTTGCATATGCACCGACCGACGGGCATGACTAAATCCACTCTGATCATCACGCAGATCTTTTACATACGAGGTGTGTTCAATGGAATAGGTGAGTTTTTAATTTTTTGAAAAGTACTTATTTATTCATCAATATCTATTTTGTTCCATTTTGGCAAAACGCTTTTCTTTCATTGGTTTCTTCAGTTTTGGGAAGAGAAAGAAACTCAGTTGTCAAAAACAAACTACTAATCGAAATTGGTTCCTAATGCAAGCACATGATAAACATATGTGTCCGATTATAACAAAAACAAAATATCGATAATCGAATGTACACAGCCCACGAAAATTCTTATTGTATATATACCTAATAGGGTCTCCGAGGATTGCTTCTGGACGTTACAAACTTTGTGGCAAACTTAATATACCCTGTTCACAATATAGATATGGGTATATAGTGTATAATTTCGTCCAAAGAATAACATACGCTAACATGGGGGAAAAAAATTTTTTGTTTTTCTTTTTGGAATCACACAGTCTCGGTTTTGATTCTGTTTGGCTGTAAACAAGTGTTATTTTATTTATAAAACCGATTGCGTTATTGGCCAGTAAATAAATCTGGCTGTCGATTTAACTGACATATATGTTTCTAAATACCCGCAAGTCGCAAGGATAACAATGCAAGATAAAGGAAATAATAATAGTAAAGTTGAAAAGCTGCAGCTCAACAAATACATAAATGTAAATTCAGTTTATAAATTATATGCAAAGTGTTGATTCAACGTTTCATTTCAAAAATCCTATTGTACAATAATAAATAATCGAATAAAATAATAAATTCATATGACACAGCTAGTACAATAATAGCATGTGAATGTTTGCTAAATTTCCTGTGGCTCTGCAAACATTGCCAACAACTGAGCATTAGTGGATGTATATACATATGTATGCGCACGCCAATCAGTGGCAAATATATTGTATCAGCGAAATATGTGTAATCAATGGGGCATATATAGATATACTGAGACGTACAGCTGATAGCCTACTAATGAAATATATTATTAGTGTGAGCGTATGTGTGCAAGTCAATACCCAGAAGGAAATTTGAAACCAATCGCTAGATATAAATAGTTATATGCTTGTAAGTTGTCGCTAACGTCAATATTAATGTACATACTCATATGTGTGTATGCTGGCAGGCGTCTTCTACATATCTGTTATTCATGTAAATATGTATTGTGTATGTTTGTTCGTGTGCTTGTGTGCGAAATTGAAAACTCGCCACCTCCTACTCGTTTGCTCATCAGCACGCATAATTTGTAGGCATACAACGAGTGATGCACACACTCGCATACACTTGCTGGCGTTGAGTACGTACAGGGCGTATGAGTTACGTGCTGCTACTCGAAATGTCATTAGAGGGTAGCAATCAAAAGTGTATGTGGCAGCAGGTGTGAACAATGTGGTTATAGCTTATAACACTTTGCGCAAATGAATTTCATATGGAGTAGTTATGGTTCGGTGTGAGTGTGTCGTGCCTAAAGTTACACACACACACTCACTGAGTGTACACGCTGATATCCTGTTGCGGTGCACGGTATGTTGCACACAAGTGTAGTTTATTTTTACAATAATTGCAATGCAGCTTGAGGAATATTATCGGATATCTGTGAAATTTTTTAAATACAGCAGGCAATTTTTTCGCTTTCTGACACATATTTGGCGCTTCAAAGAGATTTTAGAATTTTTGGAATTTGGATTTTAGATTTAAGAGGAAAAAAAAGTAATAATTGCCGAATCTGGCAAATACCTTTTATTTACGTTTTGTTGGTAAGCATCTATTTTGCGACTTCTACCGATTATCTCTTTGCTAAAAATTCAGAATTTTTATATTGAATGGTTAGCATGAAGGGTTTCATATGCAAATTATCAACTAGAGTGAGTTGAGTGGATTCATAAGGTATGATGAGCGCTCTGTTAACTCTGCAATGTCAACATTTTAATTATAAAATATAATTTTTTCACTTTAGGGAAGTTGTTGTACTACCAGAGATTGAATATATGCGGCAAGTTTTATACGACCTTGCGACCTTCACAGATTGTTTTATGCTCATCCGTTAGAAGATAATACCCAAAATACTCAACAACATGTTTAAGCATTCACCTGAGCAACTTTTTCAGCGCTGTTACACTGTAAAACTCACAAATTTTCATATTTAGTAAAGAATTTAAGCGAAAGTGAAACAAAGTAACGAATGAAAACATATACCCACATTGTTTAAAACAGATGTGACTAAAAAATTTAACTCCGTAGTAAACGACATTAACAATAATCAAAATTACAACAACATAATATACCTCAGAATGAAAGAAATATTTAGATTCAAAACTATATTTCCATTGAACTATAAGAAAGCAATATTTACTATAGCTAAGTGAATTCAAGCCAATGCCAGCCAGCAGTTAATTAATGGCGATTTTCCCGCTAATTTCGAATGAATTGCAATATATGTAAAGATTATTTCTTCATTCAACTCATTCAGTCGTTTTTTACTTTCTTGTTAATGTCAATTGATCCCCTTATTTGAGACACGTCTTTCAGTCTCATTTGAAAAGGTTGGCATAGTCAGGAGGAAGGTGAACCATGACTAGACTAAGAGTCTTTATAAATGAAGCACATCTCAACTAATAAAAACACATAACCGTAAGCAAACACT